TACAAGCTATTTGCTATGCATGTATTAACATTATAATAAGAAACCTTGACTATTATTTTTTTTCCCTACGACATTGTGACGTCATGTAACACCATCACCATTGCATAGCTCATATTGCAGGTAAATGCGTAGTCTCTAAGTGCAGAGGCTCATGATCCGGTAGTTGGACATTTAAATTTCTGTTGTATTATTCTTCTTTATTTCCTCTTCATCTTCTTACTTCACATGAACCGTGCACATGTCTTCTTGTGTTCAAATATACACGAGTGTTCCTATAGTGTAGGTATGTGATGTTGTGCGTATATGAATGTTCCCATGGTGGGTTTTGATGCATATTGTGAAGGTAATGACATATGTAACCCTGAACACGTGTTTATGTGTTCAAATATACAGGAGTGTTCCCATAGCGTAGGTATATTGTTTATGTAATTTTTTCATCCTATATAGTACGTAGACCTTATGTATTGAGTTTATTAGAATGTTTTTAACCTGTGTTGTAGTTTTATTATTTTGTTTCTCAAACATATAGGTATTTTTTTATTCTTAAAAGAAACATATAGTTATATATGTAATTTTTTTCATCCTATATATAGGCAGACCATATGTATTGAGTTTATTAGAATGTTTTAAACTTATGTTATAGGTTTTGAGGTAGGGTTTGTTTTAAGAAATCGATGGCAATTATGTAATTTATAGGAAGTTTGGAGCCTCTTAATTATGTTGTAAATGAGTTTTGGCTGTGTTTTTAAAGTCCATTTCATATAGGTAGTTTTATATATATAATTTGGGCCCCTAAATTGGGTATAGTAATGAATCTCCACAAATGTTAAAAGCAATGAAGCTCTAAACTGATCGGACTTCTAAAGGAATCATACTTATTTTAATTATCATTATTAAAGCAATTTGTTGTTTTTAATGGAAGATTAAATCAACTTGTTCTTACATATAGCTCATCATTGGCTATTAATAGGAGAGTTCTACCTCAAACTATCTGCATTGAACTTTTCCAGTCAGCTATCAGAGGCAAAAGAAGCTTTGGAGGGGTTGTCAACAATATAAAACATGTACATCACTTTATAGAATATAGAATACAATACTAATGTCTTTTTAGAATTTTTATTTTTATAAGAGGATTCAATTACAGAATCTCAAGTGCATGGGTAACTACTGTGAACCATTGGAGCTACAAATTTTTTGCTATGCCTTTATTAACATTAATAAGAAACCTTGACTATTATTTTTTTTCCCTACGACACTCTGACGTCATGTAACACCATCACCATTGCATACCTCATATTGCAAGGTCGGTAGATAGAAGCTTTCATCAAATTAAAGACCATCACCACTGCAACTGGAGTGAATTATTAGAATACTTATATGGACCATCGTACTCGTTGATATAAAATAAATACCTACAACGTTAGGTCTGAAATAAATTTTTGGCAAGGTCGGTGAATTTTTAGCAATTTGTTGAGTAAAACTTTTTGAATTTGATGGTGTAAAAGGAATTTGATGTGTTGACTTAGAACAAAACCCCGCAAATATTCAATGAATCACACTTTTTTAATTATCATTATTAAAGCAATTTGTTGGTACATATAGCTACCAAACGCAAAACAAGCTTAGAGGTGTGTTTTAATCACTTCCGTATATCTTTTTTTATTTTAAATAGAGAAAAATAGGAGAAAAACAGAGGAAAACATGGGAAAAGAGCTTGCATTGCATGCCTGTGGTTTTCTTTCTTTGGTACGTGCAACTGGATCTAAAGAACCAAAAAGAAAAAGAAAAAAAAGAAGTACGAATGTTAGGTCTGTGCCGCTGTTTGTCTTATTCTTGTCTGCCCCATTTGTGTTTATAGCGAGGAAGAGGGTAGATAGAAGATATTAATTCAATCACTTAGCTTCTTCCTATATATATAGCCCATCATTGAGCTTTTCATTTCCACCACAAAAGAAGAAGAAAAAATCATTGAACCGACTTGCTCTTTTTTGCATAGCAGGTGCGAATTCCCTTCCTTTTTTTGGTTTTTTAATTTTTGTCTTTTTAATTGAGATAGCATTTTTTTCAAGATTTTAGTTTCTTATGTTTCAATGGTAGTTGGGGATCCCGAGCCTCTACATTTAGACACTACGTATTTATCTGCATTTCGCTAAATCTAGGCCATTATAATAATCTAACCCTTGTGAATCTATTCATTGTGAATCTTTGAACTACGAGTGGCTTGATTCCCGCGAGGGATACGTAGGCATCATGAGGTTGGACTTGGGAACAACCGCAAAACCAAACACACACATTCTGTTTCTTTATGATGGAATCAAAGGGTTTTCCCTTGTAGCAAGAGATTGTAATTAAGAGACTTGCGTCTCGAATGGGTCGAACCTAAAATAATAAAACCCCATTAATTAATTAGTAGTGGTGAAATTATGTTGGGAGATTCACATTTTCCTTCAACAATATACATAAATGGTCAGACTTCCTTTTGTTTTTTTTTAAAAGAAAAAAATATATAAACTCAAAATGATTAAGGTTTCTTAGGAATAACCCACGTGATTTTAATTTTTGATGTAAGCCAATTATTTTTCGATGTAGTCCATTGACTATTTTTACATGTCAGTAAACGTACCATAGTGAGTTGATGACTCAGTTCATATGAACCGTGCACATGTCTTCTTGTGTTCAAATATACACGAGTGTTCCCATAGGTATGGTATAAGTATGTTGTGCGTATATGAATGTTCCTATGGTAGGTTTTGATGCCCATTGTGAAGGTAATGAAATATATAACCTTGAACACGTGTTTATGTGTTCAAATATACAGGAGTGTTCCCATGGTGTAAGTATATTGTTCATGTAATTTTTTCATCCTATATAGTAGGTAGACCATATGTATTGAGTTTATTAGAATGTTTTTAACCTATGTTGTAGTTTTATTATTTTGTTTTTTAAACACATAGGTATTTTATTCCTAAAAATATAGGTGTTTTATTCCTAAAAATATAGGTATTTTATTCTTAAAAATATAGGTATTCTATATTATTTGTGTATGCCTTAATCTGAATTTTATTATTTTCATAAATATTACTTAGTTGTGAATACATTTATGGTTGTTCAAACTTAATTCAATTTTTTTGACCCAAAAAAAATAAAAAATTCAATTTTGAATTAGTAGTAAAACATGCATTAAATCAGAATTTTTAGTTTATTGCCCTATTTATTTTACATTGAGAAATCCCCCTCCCCTCTAATCTTGTACTAAAAATAAGCTTACACTGAGAAGAGCAAAGATGAGTGGTAGATGGACCATACAATAAAATAAAAAAGAATAAATCAACTTTCTTACATGCATGAATGTGGTTATCGATCTTTCCTTAGAGTGTGCATAACTACAGAAGAAAGGTCTATTTGGGTCTTTATCTTAGGTGAAGATCTTTGGAGAGCTAATATTCCAAGTCGAAGTTCTGCCATAGACTTGTACGCACCATATGTTTATGGTCATGGAAGAATAAGGGTGGAAATCATAACTTGTTATCTATAGAACATCATTGTGCTATTATTATATTAAGAGAATTTATTACTTCGTCTATCAGCTACCAAAAGGCAAAAACACAACTTGCTTGTTGTTTTCAAATACATAGAAGGTGTGAGTTCACTTCCTTTTTTGCTTTGTTTTTCAATACACAATCTTTCTTCTGTGTTGTATATATATACCCATCTCCACATATCCATTTTCTTACATGATGTTTACATACTTTTTCTTCTTCTTCTTTTTAGAAAGTTAGAAATTGGAATTAAGAAAGGTTATTGGAATAAATGAGTAAAGGATATGAAGATACATTTAATGTTGGGGTTAAAATAGGAAAACTGTATCTATAGTATTTTTTTAAGCGTAATATTTCTAGGGTTTTTAAGCGTGAAACTTGGTCCTTTACATATAGATTAGATGTCGTTTTCTATACTCACCACTGCTTCGAATGCAACGAACTTTCGCTACAAGAAATACAACTCTTTTGAGATTCAAGCCCTTTCAATAGCTTCCTAGTACTAGTTGTTTCAAGGAGGGCCTATAAATATCTCAACTTTTTTTGTTTACAACATTGATAAAATCTACACTGGTTATATAGATGCAAACAAACGATAAGTATATATGTTAAGTGTGAACATTTTTGGATATGTTTTTTTTTTTTTTTTCCTTCGATTAGACAGAAACCATGACATATTTGTGGAAGAACATAGGCCATGGCAGATCTCAGAATGAAGGGAGTGGGTACATAAGATTTATTATTTATAAATTTTATAAATGTTTTTTTTTTTGGATTAAATAATTAAGAAATGATGACGTGGTAATGCTATGTCATCTGCCATGTAAGTTGGTATCACTAAAGTTGGTAAACAAGGTGGTGCCTTTTTTCAATGTTTCTCAAGAATACTTTAGGACACATGGTGGGTTACAAAGGGAGAGTGTCCATAGACAGTCGCTTTAAGTGACTAGATTTTCTAACCATATACTCTGATTTATCATTTGTTTTTTTTTTCCTTTTCAAAAGTTTGCTTTGAAGCTTCTAATTCCAACGTTCATAATGAAATATTTGAATCACTGCGCATGATGATCAGGAGGAAAGTACCATACGATTTGATGCAGGAAGATAGGTTCGACTTGTCCACTTTGCGGTGTATCTACAGAGTTCCTAAGCGACTACGGCAGGGAAACGATGATGAAGCCTACACACCTCAGGTAGTCTCTATAGGCCCACTTCACCATGGAAAGGGACACTTGAATGGTATGGAATATCACAAAAAGAGGTATCGACAAGGTTTTCTACGTAGAACCACGAAAACATTGGGGTTTTTTAAGATGAAACTACGGGACCAAGAAGCAAGACTAAGAAGTTGTTATGCAGAACCGATTGGGTATAGCAGTGAAGACTTTCTAGAAATCATTCTAGTGGATGCCGTCTTCGTTATTGAGTTTTTGTTGAAGTGCAGTGACCAAAATTTTCGAGATGAGGATGACTACATTCTATAGGGAAGGACCAAAAAACGTCGTTTTGCAGAGAACACGTTTTTCTGAAGCGACACATTTTGTTGATTTGATAAGAATTTCATGTCTATCATCGAACCGAAAAGCTGAAAAGAAACTCAAAACTATAAACATACCCAGCATCACAGAGCTACACAGGGCAGGGGTCAAGTTGAAAGGGGGATCAGCGGATAACTTATTTGATATTCAATTTGCTGACGGGACTCTTGAAATTCCAAAATTGGAAATAAGCGATCAGACAGAGCTAATAATTAGAAATCTCGTCGCATTTGAACAATGCCACTACAAGGAGAAGCACGTAAGTAATTATGTACGTCTCATGGATTGTTTTGTGAACACCCCAAGGGATGTGGAGTTGCTTGTTAAGTATGGTATCGTTGAAAATTTTCTAGGCGACAACAGTGAGGTTTCTACTTTGATTAATAAGCTTGGAAAAGGGGTTCAAATAAACGTCAATAACTTTTATTTTGCTAGTGTTTGTGAAGCCCTGAACACCTACTACAGAGCTCCCTGGAACAAATGGAAGGCAAATTTGAGACAAAATTATTTCAACACACCTTGGGCAATTATCTCTTTCGTTGCAGCTGTTTCTTTCCTCATACTCACTTTCATCCAAGCAGTGTGCTCCATTATATCTATTGCTTAAGCATCAGCAACAGCAACTGGATCTCTTTCTGTATTCTGCTTGTCCTTTTTCCATCACCAACGTAGTGAAAAAAGAAGAAGAGATCAAGTGTGTATTTTATGTGGAACAGTATGACTCCTTGTCTGTTAGTTAAACTTTTCTGTGTGCTTGTAAGGTGATATGTACCAAGTATTGTATTGTGATTCGATCAATAAAAAGATAGTATTGTGAAGTGATGAAGCAAAGAAATACTACTTTCATAGTAGCTAGTTAATTTATTATGACAGATATGATTATTGTGGAAGAAAAGATATAACATCAAAATTTAGCCCATTTATGAGGGCCTTATATATAACTCTTTGGTGAGGTCCTATCTCTTAACCGTTAGATCAGACTAACCAATTTAATCTAAAGACTAAAAGATGGCACCTCACCTAAGAGCCATATATAAGACCCTCATTACAAAATTCTTGAAACTTAAGAATCAACTATATCTAGGCTTGGGTTGAGACAGCTTCTGTTGGAATTGAACCCAAACTAATAAACTATCACATATCTAATAACTATGATCAGCAAAACACCCATGGAAACACTCAGCACACCCAAACTTGTTCAAACTCAGCCGACGCCCATGCAATTCCTCAACACACCAAGCCACTGCCATCTCAAACTTATCCAATACTAGACGCAGTCTTTGACTACCATTCTATAATGAAAAATTGTGAAGACGTATAAATTAATTACATTTTACACAATGGACAATTTAGAGTTTTAGCGTAATTTCCTCAAAATCTGCTTGTCTTCCAACAAAGCCGATGCAAGAAGCTTAGAGAATTACACAACATTCTTGTGAATTCATCCCAGAACATCATTGCTTGCTATGTAGGTAGGTAACAATGGTAAATGAGGGGTTTACTATGCCACCTAGACAAAGATAACTAATAATAAAAAAAACAGTTGCTTTAGCTATTTGTCCTACATCTTGGAGTACGTTTGTCCTTCAAATTTGTTTTTTGGCGAATCTGTTTTCTTCTTGTGAAGTTGGGTCCCAACTTTCAAGGCCCAAAACGCAAAAGCTACCTCAAAGCATTTCTTGGGCCTATACAATCCTCAAGAAGAAGACAAGCCGAACGTGAGGAAGAAGAAAAGAAAAGGGCAACGAATCTATGAGTTGACCTGAATTTTAAATCAACTACCCGAACATTATGCTATTATTCAGAGAGAATTTATGTCCTTTCATACATAGCTTAGCAATCTGCAAGTGAGCTTTTCTAGTCATTATCCAAAGGCAAAACAAACTTGGTCCTTTCATACATAGCTTAGCAGGTGCGAATTCCTTTCCTTTCTCTTTTTCTACTTTCTATTCTTTTCATTTCGTAATATTTCTTCTGGATTAATGTATTTTTCTATAAATTGCTATATATGTTTCCACATATCCATTTGCCTGAAGGTTTAAGTCGCTTGTGTTTCATGGTATGTTTTTCTCGAGGAGTAGGTTGATTTGGTATTTGCTTTGTACTCTAAATTTCAAGAACTAAATTGACACACTGGTCAAAGTTGAGGGGGGTTCTTTGTATCTTATACTCTATCGATTTTCTTAGGGGTGTCCTTTTGTGACGTCACTTTGGTTTGCTCAGCATAGCATATCAACAGGAAAATGGAAGAATGCAAAATCATGCTGGTCCAAATGACACAATTAACATACGTTCCATTAAAAACTTCATTGAGGGAGGAGTTAGATAGCTTGCCCGCCTTGTCCTCTTCGTGTTGTATCTACAGAGTTCCCGATGACATACGACGTCTGGAGGAAAAGGCCTACACACCTCAAGTCATCTCTATAGGTCCACTTCATCATGGCAAGGTAGGTTCAGAAGCCATGGAAGAGCAGAAAAAGAGGTACTTAGGAGATTTTATACGTCGGACTAAGGTAAGCTTGAAGGACTATATCAAAAAAATAACGGACCAAGAAGCAAGACTGAGAAGTTGTTATGAACCCATTAAGTTTAGCAGTACTCATACATAATAATAACTGGCTCTTTTAGGAATTGTTGGTATCGTAACTAACCGAGCAACTAGCTGGCCTAGACCATCCACGTGCTATGCTTTGAGATGTCATCACCTTCCAACCTATCAAAGGAAGACACTTCCGAAGTAGCCAGCCACCTGCCGAAGCTTCTGACTACCGAACCTAATCTTTAGGGACACATGTCACCACCAAAGCAAGTTGCACAAGTCCCACATAGGAAAACTACAAGAGATAGAGACCCCCCCTGACCTATAAAAGAAGACTATTCTTTCCTTAGAAGGGGACTGCCTCTTGGGGACTCTCTTTTGGTCTCCTGGTTTCCGGATCTTGGGTCTTAGATATTGACCCTTGGACTTTTGGGCTTTGTACCTTAGGCCTTGGGCCTTCTTCCCTTTATCTTTGGGTCTAATCCCCTTGTACAAATGTAAACAAACATTATCATAATGAGAATATACTTCTTCGTGGACGCCATTCATCAAGGGTGAACCACGTATATCTTATCTTCTGTATATTTATCGTTTGCCCAAAACCTTCACACACATATTGAAGGCCCACATCTTCACACATCATCCACCATTCCACTTCTATCTAAGTTGACCCTCCCAAAAAGAGCATCAACAGTTTGGCGCCGTCTGTGGGAATCGACACAAGAAACCTTTGTCGTTCTCCCTTCCTTCAGTGCCCTTCGGCACCCTTTCAATCATCGCCTTTTAGCTTATCGTTTAGCACCATATATGCGGAGACCACCATCGGGTCTCAAGGAACCAATATGCCGAAGACATGTATCTACTGAAGCAACCCACCTTTCAATCACTTTGAAGGGTCTCAATTTAGGGGTGGCCTAATATTCCAAATGCACCAAGGATATCACCATGCATGGCTTGCACATGGCCAAGGAAAAATTGCTCCAATACGAAGGATGCCCACGTGCATCCTCACCTCAAGATGATATTTCTCTTCTTATATATAAATATTATATACAAGCATGCAATATTTAAATAATTCATTGCACAATCCTATTCAACAATATGAATATTGCATATGAATAATAGGAGCTGTCCAGAGTCGGTTACTTTGAAAAGTTCCAATTTGGCAGTTGCCCAATACTCCAATTCACCAAAAATATCTTCTTCCTTTTGCATGGCTTGCATGGAGTACCCATGCTGAAGCCCACATGCCAATCCAAAGGCCAACCCACATGGTCCATTTCCATAAGTTTATGGCTTAGGTGTTGTTCAACACCTGTCATAGCTGCCATTCGGTAGGCTGTCAACCGAAAATATGGGACATCCCAAAACCATCTCCATACCTCCTGAACAGCAAGCTGATGACAGGGGGACTCTTAAATGACAAAACTTCTCTTTGCCAACATCTCTCAAGACACCCAAGCCCACCAAACCGATTGTCAATCGGTAAGGCCGCCACGGAACGTGAAGGACAACCTAAAACCCAAACAACTGATCGGACCCGTACCAATTGGCAAGCCGACGACAGAACGAGAAGGAGGGCCCCCAAGTCGATGGCAGCCTCAAAGGCACCAGACCTTCCGAAATTGATCGGCAACGCCCCTGCCGAACGGGAAGCTTGACGTCACCTCCGCGAACACCCAAATCGATCTGCAACGCCCTTGCCGATCGGAAGGTTTGTGTCACCTCCTCGAGGACCATCTCCAACGATCGGCAACCCACCCTGCACGACCACACCAAACGTGTGATGTCACACCTGCCGTTCGGCAGCGTCGTGCTGAAGAACAAGGAGGCCCCCAAATATATATATTTTTTCCAAAACACCCTTGCCAAACGGCAAGGGTTGTGCAGAAGCTATGGAGGTCCTCGCGAATGTCTAGCCCTCTTTCCAAATGAGCTTGCCGAAACTCTTTTGTAAACCAAAGCTGTGAGCCTGTGAGCTAAAGTGGCGGAAGGAAAGAGGACAATCTCATCTCGTCTTAAGGCTCACAAAGGCCCAGCTCTTTTGCCGAAGGTCTGTGACTAGCACCCTTCTCCCTTCCTATCGGATTGTTGCCAAAAGTACCAGCACCTTCCTCTAGATCGCCAGCAGAACCAAGTGTTTTTTTTTTTTTTTTGGGCCTTTTAGCAGAACTAAAGTCTCTTCCTTTAACTTCTTTGTTTTCAGTAATTCGATGACAAGCCTTGAAGGCCTAGTCGACTCTAGCATCTCAGACGACCACCGGAGGGACTTGCAGGTTCTTACTCCATTCATTTTGCTAACCTCTGTTTCTCTTTCAGCATTTGATCAGAAGATTGCTCGCATACTAGTTACCTCAGAAGTATTTCAATTTTATTTTTCAAATTTGAAAAAACAAGAGCTAGTTTCTTTGGTTTTCAAACAAAAAATTGAACGGAAATATTGATAAAATTGGCTCAAAAACACCTAAATTTCAACGGAAATATTGATGAAAGCTTCAACATAAACAATGTAAATTTTGGGAAAAACATGGAACTTAAGATACGTTTATTTGATAAACTACGTACCTACTAGTTTGCAAAAGAAAATTAAATGAACTTAATTGTATGGAGGGGTTGTGCTAACAAACATTGTTACCAAGAAAATGTTCCCTAAGTTACAGAAATTTGAATGGATTAGGCAAACTAAACTCAAATTTTTCCCCTTTAAAATACAACTATTTATATATTACTCGGAGTCAAATAGTTTTTTGGGCTTGTCCAATATAGGTCCATACAATTTCTATTTCCTAGACATATATCCATCATTCTATAAATCTACGTGTTAAACCCAATTTCAAACTTAAATGACCAGTAGAATATAAGAAGTCGTAGTACTCCTATGTTTTTACATCATTGCCATCAGACTTCATATTTTATTTATAATTTATCCCAAGTTTTTCATTAACTGCCATAATTGTAATTAAAACTCTCTATTAATAGCATATCAATCACCCTATTCATTTTGGTTGCCATTCCCTCTAACATATGGCCCCTTAAAATTGCAAATAAAAAAAATATGTAAATTACATATCCAATAATGTACATATGAAAAATATAAATATAAATATATATGTATAAAAA